GAAGACTGGAGACCTCCAACCAACTGTTCAGCTGCACACATGGACACAGGGGCTGATGGAAACCACCACAGTCACCAAGTCCAGACCACAGCCAGAAGCAGCATGGCACAAAACAAAAAAAACAAGTCTGCACCAGCGACCAGCACCACTGTGAACAATGCAGACAAGTCAGGAATTGACGAAGGAGCTGCGAGCAGGAAACACGAGTGCTCGGTTTGTAAAAAGAAATTTGGATCTAAATATGTACTACAAAAACACATAAGGACACACACAGGGGAGAAACCATTTAGCTGTTCAGTCTGTAAGAAAACATTTACCCGAAAGGCTAATCTTGAATTACATCAGAAGATACACACAGGGGATAAACCTTTCAGCTGTTCAGTGTGTAAGAAAGTGTTTGCTCTGCGCTGTCACCTCAAACCACACATGAGGACACACACTGGAGAGAAACCGTTCAGCTGTTCGGTCTGTGAGAGACAGTTTGCCATAAGCTCTCATCTCAAAGACCATATGATGACACACACAGGGGAGAAACCATTCAGCTGTTCAGTTTGTAAGAAAAAATTTGGCCGAAAATCTCATCTTGAAATACACACAAGGATACACACAGGAGAGAAACCATTCAGCTGCCCAGACTGTAAGAAAGAGTTTTCTGATTGTTCTAGTCTCAAAACACACATGATGATTCACACAGGGAAGAAACCGTTCAGCTGTTCAGTTTGTAAGAAACAATTTGTCCGAAAGGGTCATCTTGAAACACATATGAGGACACACACAGGAGAGAAACCATTCACCTGTTCAGTTTGTAAGAAAGAATTTGCCCGAAAGGGTAATCTTGAAACACATATGAGGACACACACAGGGGAGAAACCATTCAGCTGTTTAGTCTGTAAGAAAGTGTTTGCTCTAAGCTCTGATCTCAAAAGGCACACGAGAACACACACAGGGGAGAAACCATTCAGTTGCTCAGTCTGTAAGAAAACGTTTGCCCAAAAGGGTCACCTTGAAGGACACATGATGACACACACAGGTGAGAAACCCTTCAGCTGTTCGGTTTGTAAGAAAACATTTACTCGAAAGGATCATCTTGAATTACACACAAGGAAACACAGAGGGGATAAACCGTACAGCTGTTCAATTTGTAAGAAAGTGTGTGCTGATAATTCTAATCTCAAAACACATATGAGGACACACGATTGATTTACACTGGAAGATTGAGGCTCTTTTCTCTGTACTTGCTGCAGTGAGCCTTGTCATTAACCCGCTCTGCATGATTGTGGTGTTTTTTTCTGCTTTTTTTATTTGTTGTTGTTCAATCTGTAAGAAAACATTTGTGGTGAAGAGGGAGATGAGTTCAAAGTCAAAGCTCTTGATTTACCATCAATCTTCATTCTTCTCACCTATGGTCATGAGCTCTGGGTAATGACCGAAAGGACGAGATGGCTGAAATGAGTTTCCTTCGCAGGGTGGCTGGGTGCTCTCTTCGAGATAGAGTGAGGAGCTCAGTCACACGGGAGGAGCTCGGAGTAGAGCCGCTGTTCTTCCATGTTGAGAGAAGCCAGCTGAGGGGAGGGCATGTTGCAGGGAAGACCCAGGACACGCTGGAGGGACTATGTCTCTGGGCTGGGCTGGGAATGCCTCAGGATCACCCCAGAAGAGCTGGAGGAAGTGTCTGGGGTGAAGGAAGTCTGGGAGTCCTTCCTTAGACTGCTGCCCACGCGACCCGGCCCCAGATAAGCAGAAGAAAATGGATGGATGGCTGTGTATATAACAACTAATAAACCTAGTCAGTCCACCGGTGTTGTTCACTACTGGAGTTCCAACGATTTTCAAACAAATTGTATCATCACATGTTAACCCGGACTCCAAATAGGCTCTATTAAAAAAAAAAAGAAAAATGTTTTCTGTGTTGTTACTCACAAGAAATAATTTAAAAGAAGAAATAATAGAAATAGTAATAGTCTAGTATTGCTGGGTTTCAGATGACATCCAAACTTTTTACATGTCAATATGAAAAGGGTAGTTAAAATAAATATTGTCAAAATGCAAAATTATCTTGTATCTTGTATCTAGTATTTTCTTTGGTTTAGTCAATTGAAAATACCACATTCAATATTTGTGATTTTGTGAAAAGATTTGTGAAATCTGGCCCCATCTGGGAGTTTGACACCATCTCGCTGTAGAATCTGAAAACTAACAATAGAGACAGAATCCTAACAGCGTTTCCATGCAGTTCCTTCTTGCACCTCCAGTGGGCGCCATTGCACACAGAGAAGCAGAGCCTGTAGGAAGTCTGAATAATATAGTGTGCGTATCCTTGTTAGTGTATTTTTATTTTTATTTATTTATTTTTTTAAAGTGTTACCGTCTTTAGAGCTCATATTTATCGTTTAACAGTAGTTTGAGCAACTTTTGAGATTTTGTGTTTAAGTTTTTCTATAAACTAATCTCATGTTTGTGGTCTGAGGAGTAATGAAATCTGTCTGCATGCTGATGGAATGAAAAATACTGACTGATTTGCAACACATTTTAAACAAATTTTATATCATGGAGCGGTAGTTTTCAAGGTAACAGCTCCTTTAACTTTAGTTCGGTGGAGATTGGCAATTCCAGTTGATTTCTTTGTACACATTCTCTGCCTCAATTTAAGTTTACGTGTGTCAATTTTGTTTTGGCTTTAAATTATGTATATGTGTATGTGGATATATATTGTGTATGTATTTACAAATAAAATATATATCTTCACCTTTCACACCTGACATAACTGTGAACTGGACTTGAATATCAGAAATGATATTTGAAAACATCGTATGTCTTTATCTGTTATAATCTGATTCATAGATCACTATTTTAGATTGATTTATCTAATAGAAAAAGCTGATCAAAATTTTCATATGCAGATGTTGGGCCACAGTGGTTCAATGGTTAGAGCAGCGTTCACCAACCCAAAGGTTTACCGATGAATTCCCGCTCAGATGAAGTTCTGTCTCTGTGTTCTGTGCATTAATGTGATGTGTGTGAGTGTTGGTCGAAATTTCTGCCTCGCTTTTGTCATTCAGCCCCAGGGCAGGTGCGGCTGCAATGTTGTCTTATCACCTTATCACCACAGTGTTTGTATTTATGTAGCACCTTTCATGACAAACCATTTTTATGTTTACCCAGGTTTATGGTTATGTAATTACTGGGCCAATCCACATGAATCAAAATCTGGCACAAAGTTCAAATACAGTTCAAATTAACTTGTTTATCTTTGCGCTGTGGTCATTGTAGATATTCTGGTAGATTTGAAATTTAGTGCATCTCCCACTGCCCCTCCCTCCATCTGAAACTTTGACATCAGTAACATTTAGAACTTTATAGCCTCACATAAAGTACTTATACAAGGTACTTTGTATAAGAATAAACTTGCCTTGTCATAAGAGGCTCAGCCATAAAGTGATAATGGCTCATAATTATATTTTTGAACTACATGCTGTATGTTTACTGACAGAACTGCAAAACTAAGTCACAGGTAAATAATCAAATCAATTCTCTGACGAAAATGTGTTTTTTTATACAAACCATTTTAATGTTACAAATGAAACAGAAACATGGATGATGGGAGCCCTCCTCCTGTGCTGTGTGTTCTCAGGCAGACTCTGCTTCTTTCCTTTAGGCAGGGGGCGCTAGTGAGTCTGTTTACCCAGGGCGACATGAGTGTGGCTTGTAAAGTAAAACTATTTACATTGTTGTACCTGCTCTGAGCAGAACAAGCACATGTCTGTCATATTTACATAAGAACAGAGAACACTGTGAATGCTTAACATTATAAAAAGCCCCCCAGTGTCCACAAGAAGGCCTTCATTATCTTTGTTCTGGGCCAAATGTAACTGTGTGCTGTGCCTGGGCAGGTCCATCCAGCTGTGGGGCAGCTCCAGGTGGTGCTTACAGACGGCCGTGTGGTCCCACTGTCCCACAGGAGCTGCGGGACTTTCTCCTGTCTCAGGTAAGAACGTGTATATGTATATGTGTGTGTGTGTGTTTGTGTGTGTGTGTTTGTGCGCAGATGTTCCAGCACCAGGTTCACACCGTGCAGCAGCTGGTCAGAGTCATGGTCTGGCTCGTGCCCAGCTTCAGTAACTAAGTGGGACTGAGACCCATCGAGAGTGTGAGCCACACGTCTGCAGTGACTGTGGGCTCCCCCAGTGGAGACTACACCATCTCAGGTAAGACTCACCTCCACACGGCTCACTCATAGGTGTTGTATCAGCTATCTCACAGTGAGTAACGGTCCGGAGAGCAGCTGTAAGATGCTGGTCCAATTCCCCAGAAACCAGAAAGAGCTTCAGAAGAGTGAGGTGGTCCAGAACTCCACATGGAGCCTCCTGAGTGAGTCGCACAGAGAAGTGCACTGGAGCAAGATGGAGGGCAGGATCTTTGTGTACAAGATGGAGCTGCAAACGACTGCGCTCACAGCTGCTCCTTGAACTGCACCGCTCCTGTACTAACTGTGCCGGGTTTGTTTACCCAGAGTGTAGACAGGCTGAAGCTGCACTATTATCAACACATGTCCATGAGAAAACTTTGAAAATACTTTTTACAAATGCAACAGCAGTCACTGCAAGAGATCCCACTTTCCTTCATACTGTATGTACTGTTGGTAGCCGACCAAAGTCAGTCCAGTCTTCATTAAATCAGCACATGAGTCTGTGTGCAGAGGGGCCTGGTGTTCTCAGAGCATCTGCAGCTCCGTTTCATCTGCTTCTGTTAAAACAAAGTCAAAGATGAAGTGTGAAATTAAACAGACCTTTGGACTCATGGGCCCTGCCCTGTCATTCACTCAGTCCGGGCACAGTCACACACACAAGATTTACTTTATTCTTTACTCTTTATGTTTAAGTTTAAGACAAGAATCCAACTACAGGTGAAATCAGCCCATGTCACAGTTCTACACCTGTTCCACTGACAAATATCCCCCTCTGTGCCTGTTTTCTGTTTAAACACATTCTGAATGAGTAAACCTGTATGGTGTATGGAGTACTTGTGGTTTTGTTCCCTTTTCTCTGGGCGTGTGGTGTTCATGTACCTGGCATGCGTTTCCTGCATCTCCAGGCCCTGACGCGATGGTACAGTCTGTCCAGGAGCCACATGCAGAACATGAGCAGAGCAGCCACACAGCCCAGAGCCAGAGCCGAGACCGAGAGGTACTGCAGGTCCTCGTACAGCACCTCTGCGTCCAAACAACAACACAACGTCAGAGACACACAGTGCACAGAATCCCAGCAGCAGAATCTTGCGTGGAGCTGCTTTAAACTTTTGTGAGCTTCAAGTTTGAATGTTATTAAGTTGTTGAGGGAAGAACTCAGCCTAAATATGCAGGTTTGTGTGTTAAATATGTGTGAATGAAACAAAAACACAACGCTGTATGTATGTTTTTGATAAGAAAACATCAGAACAGATCAGAAAATAGCGTAATATGGGCCCTTTAAATGTCCCCCTATCCACATGAAACAAAAACTCGCACAAACGTCTTTTCCGTCAGTATAAATAAAAAAAAGTTAAGTTATGTTTACACAACAGTTTAAAAAAACTGTGCCACTATTCTGTACTTTAAACCTCTCCAGAATGAGTGAGGAATTACCCAAGAACTCACTGTATTAAAATCGAAATCTGTATTTGAACAATATTAATTACTGCCCCAGTGTTAAATGTTTTATGTTATTAGATTAATCCGTTTGAATACAAATCATAATTAGTTATTTCAATTCTTCTGGATGTGTTTAAAGTTTATATGACAGGTTTTTAAGATTCTCAAATTTGTACTTAATTTGACAATCATATAAACCTGCTGCACATATAAATGATAGTTTTACACTGATTTAAGAAGCAATTTGGGAAGAAAAACAGAAAAATATGTTGAAAATTACAAGAAGTGGAGAGTTTTATTTTACAGATTTCCACACTGATGACACAATGGGGAGGATTCTGTCCTATTCTGTAAGTTTTACTTATTAAATAATAATTTCAACGTACATTAGAGGAGTTTTGGTCCAGTATGTGGATGTGATGTCATGATTTCTAACCAATAAGTATAGTTTTAAACCTAAAAAACAGCCAAACTGGGCAATTTAACAAAAAATTTGATCTTAACTGTGTTTTTTGTTGTCAAAAAAGAGTCAAAAAACAAATACGAAAATACTAATTTAAATATAAAACTCCTTCTGAGTGGGACAATCTTCAGTCTTTAACTTCTGTCCCTTCATTTAAAAATGCTCTGGTTCAATATTTACATAAACCGTGTATTTGTTTTTGATCATTTTGTTGAATTTTCTTGTTCATCATGTTGTATTTTGTGACTATATTTGAACTCTGTCTTAGTTTTTTGTGAGAAATCTCAAGGGGCTTATCCGCCAAACAAATAAATTCAAATTGTTTACTGTTGGCAGGGATCAGATTGGTCAAAAATAGGGACACCTGGGACATTTTTTGGATAAAACCGGGACAAATCACTGGTTCTGGAGGACACAGGGCTCAAAACGGAGACTGTCCCGGGGAAACAGGGACACCTAATCAACCTAATTACAACAAAAATCTGCATATCAACAATATTTATTTGCCCTGCGCCCTCATCCGTATTAAAAAAGTTTGGCCTATAGAATGTTGTGTCACGTGAAACAGATTTGCCATAACCCCGCCCCCATGTCCCTCTCACCTGTCACCTTGAGCACGAAGCCCACGTCCCGGCTGCTGCCCCCGCCCTCGGTCACCGTGAGCACGTAGAAGCCCGCGTCCTGGACCCGCAGGTTGGACAGGAGCATGGACCCGTTGGCGAAGGCCTGCGCTCTGTCGCTGTAGTCCGCCGTGATGTTGGTGAAGTTTCCCGGCTGCCACGTCCCGATGTCGCGGCTGACGGACCCGGACATGAAGCTCCAGCGGAGGGTGGGGGCGCCATTGCACTCCACCGCCACCGAGAAGTGCACGTCGTCCTGCACGGCGCGGGTCAGGGTCCGCTGCCCACACTGGATGGAGATGGCTCCGGCTTCTGCGCCGCACAAAAGAGGAAGCAAAGTGAGTTTTTCCACAAAGATCTGATGATAAAACTAAAGCACTGCTCAAGAGGAAAACTTGAAAATCCCTCACGATCAATAAAGTCTGTCTGTCTCTCTCCTTCTATCTCTCTGTTTCTCTCTCTCTGTCTCTTCCCCTCTTTCTCTTTCTCTCTTTCTCGGTCTCTCTCTTTCTCTGTCTCTCACTCTCTGTGTCTCTCTGCCTCTCTTTCTCATTGTCTCCTTCTCTCTCTCTCTGTCTCTTTCCCTCTCTTTCTCTCTGACTCTCTTTTTCTTTCTCATTGTCTCTCTCTCTTTCCCTCTGTTTTCTCTTTGTCTCTCTTCCTCTCTTTCTCTTTCTCACTGTCTCTCTCTCTCTTTCTTTCTCTCCGTCTCTCTCCCTTTCTTTGTCTTTCTGTCTCTCTCTTTCTCTCAGTCTCTCTGTCCCCCTCTTTCTCTTTCTCCCTCTCCCTCCCTCTCCATCTGCGTCTCTCTCTCTCTCTTACTCTCTGTATCTCGCTCTCTCTTTCTCACTGTCTCTCTCTTTCTCTGTCTCTCCTCTCTTTCTCACTCTCTCTGTCTTTCCCTCGGCACGACGAGGTTTTTCCACAAAGATCTGATGATAAAACTAAAGCACTGCTCAAGAGGAAAACTTGAATTTCCCTCATGATCAATAAAGTCTGTCTGTCTCTCTCCTTCTATCTCTCTGTCTCTTCCCCTCTTTCTCTTTCTCTCTGTCTCGGTCTCTCTCTTTCTCTGTCTCTCACTCTCTGTGTGTCTCTCTGCCTCTCTTTCTCATCGTCTCCTTCTCTCTCTCTCTTTCTCTGTCCCTCTCTCTTCTCTCTCTCTCTCTCTCTGACTCTCTTTTTTCTTTCTCATTGTCTCTCTCTCTTTCCCTCTGTTTCTCTCTGTCTCTCTTTCTCGTTCTCACTGTCTCTCTCTCTCTTTCTTTCTCTCCCTCTCTCCCTTTCTTTGTCTTTCTGTCTTTCTGTCTCTCTCTTTCTCTCAGTCTCTCTCTCTCAGTCTCTCTCTCTGTATCTCGCTCTCTCTTCCTCACTGTCTCTCTCTTTCTCTGTCTCTCCCTCTCCATCTCTCTCTCTCTCTTACACTCTGTATCTCGTTCTCTCTTTCTCTGTCTCTCCCTCTCTTTCTCACTCTCTCTGTCTTTCCCTCGGCACGGCGAGGTTTTTCCACAAAGATCTGATGACTTTAACTAAAGCACTGCTCAAGAGGAAAACTTGAATTTCCCTCATGATCAATAAAGTCTGTCTGTCTCTCTCTTCTATCTCTCTGTCTCCCTGTCTCTTTGTCTCCATCTCTACCTCCCTTTCTGTCTTTCTCTCTTTCTCTTTCTCTCTGTCTCGGTCTCTCTCCTTCTCTGTCTCTCACTCTCTCTGTGTCTCTCTGCCTCTCTTTGTCATTGTCTCTTTCTCTCTGTCTCTCCGTCTCTTTCCTCTCTTTTTCTTTCTCTTTCACTCTCTCCCCCTTTCCTTCTCATTGTCTCCTTCTCTCTCTCCCCCCCCTCCCTTTCTCTGTCCTCCTCTTTCTCTCTCTCCCCCTCCCTCTCTGTCTCTTTCCCTCTCTTTCTCACTGTCTCTCTATCTCTTCCCTCTTTCTCTGTCTCTCTTCTTCTCTTTTTCTTTCTAACTGTCTCTCTTTCTCTCTGTCTCTCACTGTCTCTTTCCCTCTCTTTCTCACTGTCTCTCTCTTTCTTTCTCTGTCTCTCTTTTTCTCTCTCTTTCTCTCTGTCCCCCGCTTTCACTTTCTCTCTCTCCCTCCCTCTCCATCTGTGTCTCTCTCTCTGTATCTCATTCTCTCTTTCTCTTTCTCTCTCCCTCTCTTTGTCTTTCTCACCATCTCTCTTTCTTTTGCTATCTCTCTCTCTGTCTCACTGTCTCTCTCTCTCGCTTTCTCTCTGTCTCTCTCTCTTTCTCTGTCTGTCTTGCTCTGTCCTCCTCTTTCTCTCTCCCCCTTTTTCTTTCTGTCTCTCTCTCTTGTTTTCTCTCTCCTGCCCCTTTCTCCCCCCTCTATTTCTCTCTGTCTCTCTCTCCCTCCCTCTCTGTCTCTCTCTCTCTCTCCCTACCTTTCTTTTTCTCCCCTCTCTTTCTCTTTGTCTCTCTCTCTCCCTTCCTGTCTTTCTCTGTCTCCCCTCCCCTTTTCTCTTTGGCTCTTTCTCTCTCTCCTTTTTCTCTCTCTCTCTCTCTCTTTCTCTCACTTCTGTCTCACTCTCTGTTTTCTGTTTCTCTCTCTTTCTCTCTGTCTTTCTCTTTCTCTTTGTCTCACTTCCGTCTCTTCTTTAACTTCTTGGGTTATTTTCAAAGACAATGCTTTTTTTTTTAAAATAATTGGGTGACAGTTTTGAAGATAATTTACAGCAGCAGCAGTCGAAACATGTCAACAAGGTAAATATACTTTACTGTATTGTCTTTAAAAAGAACCCAAGAAGTTAAAGTACATAAAAAGACAAAATGAACATCTTCTGTCTCCCTTTCTCTCTCTCTTTCTGTCTCTCTCTCTTTCTCTCTGTGAGTAGTAGAGTTGTCAAAAGATATTATAGCATCAAAACTCATTTTTTCGTAGGTATCGACACAAAAACGACACATTCACAGGACAAAAATAAACAAATATAAGAGCAAATAGACTAGTACTAGAATAGAAAATAGAATACAAAAGAAAATACTACGATTTAATGTTGAAAATCACACTGTATTGTCTAAGAAAATCCTCACTATTGAGTATAAAGACTATTCCTTAGTAAATAAATTGAGTTTGAAATGTTAATATTGTGACAAGTACTCAGTTACATTACCAGGATTCACATCTGACATCTACAACTAACAAAAATGAAATAAACTTAAGGATAGTAGCTTTCCCCCCCCCCATTTTATTGCTCCCCATGTGACCCATTCTTCATCCATCCATGTCCAGATCTTAAATCGAATCAAAATCGCAATTTGAGTTGGTCCGAGTAGGAAATCACAAAGACAATAATAGAAATAAAGACCCTCAGATGTAAAAAAAGAGGTAGAGCGCTTCACTGGGTTATAAAAAAGTTACGTTTCGATCTCAGAAGAATGTGAACCTTACTAGAAAATGTAAAAATGGGCAACGTATGAACTTAAGTTACACCGACTGAAAAAATTAAAAGTCCTTTATTACGGCGTCCTTCCATGTAATAATATAGTCCCTTTTTTTTAAATTTACAAGTTGCTGACCCTGTAGTTCAGTCTTGTCTCTGATGCAAATGCTCCTGGAGTTGTTTACAGTACACAATAAGTCAACCAGACACAAGCAGAACGTGCAAACTCCACACAGAAAGACCCTGACCGTGGTGTTTACCTTCTAAACTGCAAATACACAAGTGATAAACACAACGCAACAGATACAGGACTACAACTGTACAACAACTCGCCCTTATGTAGCAGATAATACTCCCTACAACTGTACAACAACTCGCCCTTATGTAGCAGATAATACTCCCTACAACTGTACAACAACTCACCCTTATGTAGCAGATAATACTCCCTACAACTGTACAACAACTCACCCTTATGTAGCAGATAATACTCCCTACAACTGTACAACAACTCACCCTTATGTAGCAGATAATACTCCCTACAACTGTACAACAACTCACCCTGATGTAGCAGATAATACTCCCTACAACTGTACAACAACTCGCCCTTATGTAGCAGATAATACTCCCTACAACTGTACAACAACTCACTCCTATGTTATAGATAATACTCCCTACAACTGTACAATTCAGTCTTATGTAACAAATAATACTCGCTACAACTGTACAACAACTCATCCTTTTGTAAGAGATAATACTCCCTACAACTGTGCAACAACTTGCCCTTATGCAACAAATAATACTCCCTACAACTGTACAACAACAGGTAATACTCCCTACAACTGTAAAACAACTCACCCTTACGTAACAGATAATACTCCCTACAACTGTACAACAACTCACTTATGTAACAAATAATACTCCCTACAACTGTACAACAACTCACCCTTATGTAGCAGTACAACTGATAACAGATATACTCCCTACAACTGTACAACAACTTATGTAGCAGATAATACTCCCTACAACTGTACAACAACTCGCCCTTATGTAGCAGATAATACTCCCTACAACTGTACAACAACTCGCCCTTATGTAGCAGATAATACTCCCTACAACTGTACAACAACTCGCCCTTATGTAGCAGATAATACTCCCTACAACTGTACAACAACTCATCCTTTTGTAAGAGATAATACTCCCTACAACTGTGCAACAACTCATCCTTTTGTAAGAGATAATACTCCCTACAACTGTGCAACAACTTGCCCTTATGCAACAAATAATACTCCCTACAACTGTAAAACAACTCACCCTTATGTAGCAGATAATACTCCCTACAACTGTACAACAACAGGTAATACTCCCTACAACTGTACAACAACTCACTATATATAACAAATAATACTCCCTACAACTGTACAACAACTCACCCTTATGTAACAGATAATACTCCCTACAACTGTACAACAACAGGTAATACTCCCTACAACTGTACAACAACTCACCCTTATGTAGCAGATAATACTCCCTACAACTGTACAACAACAGATAATACTCCCTACAACTGTACAACAACTCACCCTTATGTAACAGATAATACTCCCTACAACTGTACAACAACTCACCCTTATGTAACAGATAATACTCCCTACAACTGTACAACAGATAATACTCCCTACGACTGTACAACAGATAATACTCCCTACAACTGTACAATTCAGTCTTATGTAACAAATAATACTCGCTACAACTGTACAACAACTCATCCTTTTGTAAGAGATAATACTCCCTACAACTGTACAACAACTCATCCTTTTGTAAGAGATAATACTCCCTACAACTGTGCAACAACTTGCCCTTATGCAACAAATAATACTCCCTACAACTGTACAACAACAGGTAATACTCCCTACAACTGTAAAACAACTCACCCTTACGTAACAGATAATACTCCCTACAACTGTACAACAACTCACTCTTATGTAACAAATAATACTCCCTACAACTGTACAACAACTCACCCTTATGTAGCAGATAATACTCACTACAACTGTATAACAGATAATACTCCCTACAACTGTACAACAGATAATACTCCCTACGACTGTACAACAGATAATACTCCCTACAACTGTACAACAACTCACCCTTATGTAACAGATAATACTCCCTACAACTGTACAACAACTCATCCTTATGTAAGAGATAATACTCCCTACAACTGTATAACAGATAATACTCCCTACGACTGTACAACAGATAATACTCCCTACAACTGTACAACAACTCATCCTTATGTAAGAGATAATACTCCCTACAACTGTACAACAGATAATACTCCCTACAACTGTGCAACAACTCATCCTTATGTAAGAGATAATACTCCCTACAACTGTGCAACAACTCATCCTTCTGTAAGAGATAATACTTATTTTCTAATTTATTTTGACTTGTACATAAACATTTATATAATTATACCTTTCCCTGACAGCTGTCTTTTGCTACTAATTTATTATTACCATTTATATATTTTTTTACTCTTTTTTATTAGAATATATTGTGATGTGTGAGCGACTGTGTCCAAGTCATTTCCCTAAGGTTTTATTCAAGCACATGACACAAAAACCTATAAAACTCTCCAAGACCATATCCACCATATCCATGACAACACGACTCTGACCATAAGGCTGACCTGTTTAACACTGCATGAGTTGTATGGTCCTATTTGTCTTTTATTTATTGATTTATTTATAATTTTTATCTATTTTATTTTATTTTTTTGTACTGCTTTTATGTATTGATTTTATTATTTTTATTCATTGATTTTTTTAAAATTAGTATTATTTTATGAATTGATTCTATTAGTTTCTTCTTGGTTGGAACACAAATCTTGTTTATAAAATGTGCTGTACAAATGAAGTTGGACTGGATTGGAACACGGAAGAATAAACTGTATAGAAGTACATTATATATACAGTCTATGCGGTGTCTTTACTTCAAGTCTTTTTCCAAAATCTAGGACTAACCAGGATTAGGACTAAACCAGGACTAAACCAGCACCTCCACTTCGCAAAGGACTACAAATTGTAAACCTAAACAGGATTTAATTAGGACCCTGTACTGCAGTAATTGTAAACTACCCACTTCCATCTTTAATCCTGCACCCAAGACTTCAGGATTAAAGATGGAAGTGGGTAGTATATTCACTTTTACTTGAGTACTTTTTATAATAATTAGAGTTTAATAGTTACTTGAGTCAAGGTTGTGGTTCCTTATCCCACTGTGACTAAATCTACAAGTGACAAAAGCTTTATGTTGACAATATGAAATTAAATCTTATTATTTCTTGTACCACTTCTTCAGATTTGCTTTAATGGTCTATTGTTTGAAAATAACTTCTTCATATTTGTGCATTTTTTTTGTCATTCCAACAATAAACCAAAGGCTACTCATACCTGGGGAAAAAAATAAATATATAGATAAGGTGATGACTAAAATGACTTAAATTCGGGACATTTTACTTTATTTGAGTAGACTCAGTTTGACAAGTAAAATGATCTACCAATGGAATAAGTGAGTTTTTCGTTTCTTATTTTAAGTGCAAAAAGGAGTTGTTTTTCTTTTTTTAAGTGTAGCAAGATGTACAAAAAGTCTTATTTCACTGGCAAATAATTTTATTTGTCAAGCGAAATTTACTCAAATCATAATAAAACGTGGTCTTAACTTGGCTAGATTTTGTTTTTTGCTTTTTTTAAAAACTCGGCTTTCTTGAGTAATTTCTCTGCCTACACCTTTGAATTTCTTCTTGAGTAATATTATTTTGAAAACTCTTGAAACTTGAGCACTTTGGAAACTCTCCTCTCTTCTGATGAAAGCTGTTTTAAGCCAGGACTTAAAGCTGCTCTCCGCCAGCATTGAAGCCAAGACTACAGCATGCGCATGGCTAAAGAAAGACTAAAGAACTGGAATAAATGGCATTGCATTGTGTGAGTTCAGCCCTGTGATTTGCGCGTGCATTTTCCTCTGCATTGTCACGTCTTGCGCGTACAGACTCCTGCGAGGTGCGAGTAAAACCTGCCGAACAAGCCCGGGGACGCAACTGCCCACTTCCAATGTGACAGCTCATCAGGAACTTCAGTAAACACAACAAACAGTTTTAAAAAAGCGCTATCGAATTTCATTTACATAGCTAAGCGCGAACCAGTCCACGAAAAAGCGCAAGTGCCAAGCGTGTCCAAACAGGGCCAGCGCGCACGCCATTACGCACAAGATTGTAGCCCCTAAACTGGAAAATAAAACATCTACAACTATCCATTACTATCCCAGGACATTAACGAGATAAAATGGACGTCGTGCTTACCTATGTACCACACGGAGAGAGCCAATCCGATTACCCCCCAGAGCCACCACATCAGGACGCGCGCAGCTCACAGTCCCGTCCGAAGCCCTCACATCTTGGTCCGTGTCCGGGTCTTGTGGAATCTGCGTGTTTTTCTCGTGTATTTCAGGAGTCTAAGCGCACTCCGAGGAACGAGTCGAGCCGGAGATCACAGCGTTACCTGCGGCTCCACCCACCTGCGCTGTCACCCACCAAACGCGTCCAACAGGAAGTGCGCCTTCACGTGGGTGGGCGGGTCAAGGGAGGTGGGTTCCGCGCTCCCCAACCAGGATCAGCGTCAATACAAACACAACTAAGGCGCAGAGGGACGCAAAAAAGTAGGTGAGCTGCAGTTTTAAACCTTGCAAACTTACTTTCTGTCTGCGGTACATTAGCTTGCGCCAAAGTGTGTGCCAAGTGACGCTAAAAACAAATGGCGTATGGCTAATCTGTCTTCTGCGTAAAGTGGCCATCGTTGGAGCACTTCTCATGAGTTTTATTCGTCTATGTTCCACTTGTATTTCATGATAAAACGACCTCAGTCCTCTGTTTTTGCCCTTTGTTTTTATGTGTGCCAATACTGTGCCAAAGTGATGCCAAAGATGCTAAAAACAAATAGCGCATGGCTAATTTGCCTTCTGCGTAAAATGGCCATCGTTGGGGCACTTCTTGTCAATTGTATTCATCTATATCCCACCCGTATTTCATTATAAAACGAACCCAGTCCTCTGTTTGCCATAGATTAGCATGCCCTATGTTTTTTGTGTTCCAATACTGTGCCAAAGTGAAGCCAAAGATGCTAAAAACAAATAGCGCATGGCTAATCTGCCTTCTGCGTAAAGTGGCCACCGTTGGGGCACTTCTCGTGAGTTTTATTCGTCTATGTTCCACCTGTATTTCATTATAAATCAACCTCAGTCCGCTCTTTGCCATAGATTAGCCTGGCAAGTATGATTTTTGTGTGCCAATACTGTGCCAAAGTGATGCCAAAAATGCTAAAAACAAATAGCGCATGGCTAATCTGCCTTCTGTGTAAAGTGGTCATATTTAGGAACTTCTCGTGAGTTTTTCTCCTTATAATTCCACCTGTTGAATCCAGACAGGATGCTCTCCGTTGGGGCATAGGGACCTCTCGGCAGCGTTGGTGCTTAGTTTACTTTTTATGGAGCTTAAACTGCTGTTAGCATCAGCTGTAGCCACAACACCATATTACAGGCCAGTGCTGCTGTGTGGGCGTTTCATGGTTCGGTCCAACACTTGCTCCAGGACACAATGACAGTGTAAAGCAGTCATAGCTCCACAGTGTCACATATTTCATTTCAGGTGGTTCTTTTCATTGTTATAATGTTATATGATTTTTAAAAATGTTTTTATATGTTTAAAAAATACAATCACACCTGAACCTGGGTTGCCAGTGCCATGAGCTGCAGAGGCTGCACAAGCACTGATAAATTATTGGCTGCGAGTGCTGGGGTTTAGTAGTGACCATTCAGATCAAAAAGAGTCCTTTGAAGAGTCCTAGTTTAAACCAACTTTAGCAGTGAAACTTCTGTTTTCTGTCTGATTTGTTTCATTTGATTTGAACATGTTTACCTCATGTCTGGAGGCACAGGTCATGTTTATTACGTTTAAAATCAAAATTTTATTGTTTATTTATGTGCAGTTGCACAAATTTGTCACATAATACACCAATACATTATACATTTAGATGTTTCATGCACTCATTTGCTTTTTGAAGTGGTTTGTGGTTTAATAAGTGCTGAATAAGTGCGAACCCAGGACACATGATCCGGAGCGAGTCTGGTACCAAAATAACCGTCCACTCTGCTCTCTTATTAAAGTGTTTGTGTTTGTACAGCAGAGCTGAGTGTGACCCTTGGGTGCTCCTGTTCTTGCAGACATGTCGTCCCCTCAGATCGCGTCTTTGTCCTGGGGTCACATGAAGGTGCAGGGCGTCTCCAGCTCCTACAAGGACTGTAAGGTGTGGCCCGGGGGGAGTCGCACCTGGGACTGGAGAGAGACCGGCACAGATGTGAGTACCTCCTGTCTCTCTCTCTCCCCTTACCCCTGAAATGTACTCAGTCACAGTAACCTGAGTATTTGTAATCAGTTACTTTCCACCCTTCCTCTCCTCTCCCTCCCTCTTTGGTCTATCCTTTTCTCACTCTGTTGTGTGTCTTCAGCACTACCCCGGGGTTCAGCCGGCTGACCTGGACGAGCTGCTGACCAAAGGCATAGACCTGCTGGTGATTGGCCGGGGGATGTCTGAGGCTCTGCAGGTAACTTGTTGAATTATCTTCAAAGGGCCCATATTACGCTAGTTTCTGATCAATGTTATAATGTTTCATGTTATAATGTTTAATGTTAATCAGCCCCTATTTTAGCTGCCTTCGTCTGTATTAGTCAATATTGGCCTACAGAGTGTCGCGATGTGATCTGAAACCCAGCGTTTTAATATTATGACCATTTCAGTTGGGATTTAATGGTGCTTTGTCCCCAGGCGTAGTGATATGAGCTGTCTGTGTGTGTGTGCGTGTAGGTCCCTGGTTCCACGCTGGACTTTGTGAGGGGCCGTGGGGTGGAGGTGACGGTGCTGCAGACGGAGAAGGCGGTGGATCAGTACAACAAGCTGGCGGCGCAGGGCAGGAAGGTGGCCGGGATCTTCCACTCCACCTGCTGACCCCCACAAACCCCAAAGTCTTCTACAGCTGTCGCTCTTTATTGCTGCTTTCAGGGAGTCCAGGGATTGTTTGAGTCGAAAACAACAGCTCGGAAAACAATGGACATTAAATGAAAATCAGACACTTTATAAATTTATAAAGCGCATTTTGAATTGTTATTGTATTTTCAGCATTACAGCGGTGTCAAGTGATCAGGTTCCGAATATGATGACGTCATTATATTGTTTCTCACATTTTCATATACAGGGTGACTTTATGGATTCTGACATTTTAGGTTTATTTTAATGAAATTGTGAAGTGCCTTTTTCCTCCTAAACATGGTACATTTTGTGAGCCATCAGTCGGGTTTACTCTACACTTTTCTCTTCATTCAATAAAGTCAAACCTCAAATTCAAAAAAGTTTATCGTCAATTCTTCATACGAAACATATGAAGAATCGATATTGTGTTTCTCCCTCATACGTAAACAATAATAAATGGAAAAGTCTGTTCTTTAGGGAGAAGTCTACAGTAGTTTAAGTCTTCTGAAGTTCAGTTTTTGTTGTAGTAAGGGGTAGATGTTGACAAAGAAAATCTCTTAATCCTGAATACAGTATTGTAGCAATCCATCAAACACAGACTAAAATGTAAACGTCAACACCATAGACTAGGCATGGGTATCATTAAGAAATTGCCGATACGATACATACCTCGATACAGTGAACTTTAGATTCGATATGATATATTTCAAACTAATTCGATACGGTTCAATAAAAAAATAAAGGCTAAATCATGGCTGTTACACTAAAAGTCTTTGTTAAACCACTTCTTGTGCAAAGTTCATATGAAACACAAACATTTTAATCATCAAAACAGTGAAAATGTCAAATGTGTCGCATAAACATGTTTCCCTTCTCTAAACAAACAACAAAACTGTAGCTCTGTAACAAAACAATTCAGTAAAATTTACCTAAAAATACTCTTACTGATATCGATACTGTATCATCACATTAAACGATACGATATTCCGATATTTCAATATTTCTGCACACCCCTACCATAGACTGTATAAAGAAGTAGTCGCAGGGAGTGTGACGTTGGCTCCAGTCAAATGAAGCTCATGGAGGCCATGTGTTATGGGGGAAATTTGGACCTGAGTTCTATATTAGGAATTGGTTTACAGACATAATAGATAAATAAAAAACACCAGGATCTTGTACAGTTTTTAAGACCAAAATGAAGAGCCTGACAGCAGCAGTTACAGAGAGAGGGGTGAAATTATTTTCAATACAAAGTGAACTAGAGGCAGAGTTGATGGAGCCGATGGTCACCTCTTATTTGGAACGCAGCGGATAACAGGTTAGCTATGTCCATTTATACTTGTCTAAGAAAATCAAATAATATGACCTTAAATTAACACAATCCACTCTGGTTTGATAGAAAAGTTGAGTCTTTATTTACTTCTGTCCTCGTGTCTGGTGAGTTGTGTTTACTGTACAGTCCCATGATCCTTCACAGCTCTATCTGCGCGTGGGTTTGGGCATGATGAACACTTTGACGGGTTTGCTGAAGGGGATGGTCCCCTCGATGTCTGTCTGTGGGCCCTCGGACTCGGCCCCGCCTGGAGCAGTGCTGCTATACGCCAGCAGGAGGCGCACGGAGATCTGACACGGCTCTGGAGCACAAGAACACAGTGAGACGTATTATCAACATGAACATGGTCAGGTCTGGATCAAAATGACACTCAGAACATACTTAATATTAATCAAACATAATCATAATCAAGAGTTATCAAATGAGTTAGTGCTTTAGAGGAAATTCAAAGCCTTTCAGAATGGAATTTATTAAGTATTAAGAAATCATGAACTAATCTGTCATTCATTTACTAACAACTTCACAAACATAATCCTGTGTTGGAGTTCTCTAGCCTAATTCATAATTAACCTTAACAACTAACCTTAACATTTACCTCGCGGCGTTAGAATTTGTTTGCTTGACAGTAGGCAGGTACTATTTAACCAAATTGGTATATTAAGCTTTTCCCAAATCCTGTAGGAAGAAGGGCAATAACATTTTTCCCCTTGATAAAATTCACCAAACATTCTCTTTGTTCCGGCTTTAAAACCTCGATCTCGGGAATCGTTGCCAACACAGAATATATGGCTCTTCGCTGATTGGCTGGTGCCTGAACTCGCACTTCCGCGTTTTTTGCGAACCGTCTAGTGTATTCTGATTCCTGATCTAGTCGCTTGAGAGAAATGAAATTGAGCGGCGGCACCAGGTGGCACCAGCCTGGCAAGGAGTTCTCAACATCTGACTCAAAATTTACATTTTATTGACAGTTTATATGTCCAGTCTGTTAGAGAAAGTCCATTTCTGTGCTGTACTGCTCTCACTGCCAGCTTGTTATCTTGGCCTACATCACAGGTATAATACTCCCTACAACAGAAGCCAGAATGGACTGCACTGGATTCGAATGGACAACACTATCACTGTGTCCTGAGGGCTCATGTCTCCAGCTGCTGGGTCCTGTACTGATGTAAATGAACTTCTCCTGCGTTACAACTCCAGCCTCGTGCCTCTTCTGTTTAACTCTCAGGCTACTACCATCTATTTTACAACCCAGCTCTCACTGTTAATTCATCCTCTAAAGATAAACAATTTGTATCAATAAAATCTTTAGTTTCATAAGTAAGCAAAAAAAAGAAAAAAAAAGAAAAATAATTGCATTTCATCAAAAGCAGTGGCATAAAAATGGCACCAACACAACACAATCCTGTATTAAATGGATTTTTAGAACATTTGTGTAAAAGTGTGGAGCTGCTCACCTGTCCATGCGCTGTGGGACAGGTACACTTGTGTGATGAGCCGGTGACGGGTGGGGCCGGGCCTCCTGAAGTCTGCAGGTTTGGGGTGGATCAGGTGAGACTGACCGTCAGGATACTGCACCTGTCACAGCAGAACATCTCATTCACATGTGCAGACTCATATGGTAATATCGAAACAAATGTATGTATCTGTTTAATGTCTCTTCTGTTTATGTATATATGTGTCTAGTTACACAACTATCAAAAAAATACAACAAATTACATATTTTTTGTAAAGGTAAAATGACAGTTTGATTTGAAAACATGACATCAGTGAATTTTGGTGGGGGTGTGGCGGTGTGGGGGACAGCAGAGACAGACCTGCACTTTGACCGTGTTCTGTGGGTCCTGCACGTGCTCCAGAGTCGCGTCGATGTCCAGCGCCACCACCAGGCCAGAGGTGAAGCGCAGCGGGTTGTCCGACTCCCCTGTGGGCTCAATGATGGTCGCTGTGGCCTTCTGAATCTGGCACAAGAGAGAGACACTTTTCAAATTAACATACCTACTTCTACTCTGCTCAGACTATCCATTGGTTTTTGTATTTATGGAGGATTGTCATAAGGAGGGCCCAGGAGAGATCGCTAAATTACTCAAACATACATGGATGACATCTAAAACCTCTTCAGACATGTTTTTGATGAGAGAACAACGTTAAAAGCTTAAAAAAAGAAAATAAATTCATAATACCCCTTCTCAAAGCTAAAGTTATTACCTTGCTCTTTACTTAATGCATTCTCACCATAAAACCATGACTGTAAAGAAGCAGACTAACAATTATTAACAATATTTGAAGACTAAAATGAAATTATACACATAACATATTAGGAGTAGGAATTGTTTTATGGAGAAAATTGTGAAATAAGATCATACTGAGAGGGTTAATATAAACAATTTAAGACCAAAATGAGAGAGGGGAGACGTTTTTTTTCGATACAAAGTGAATCTGAGGCAGAGCTGATGGAGCCAGAAGCGTGCCCATGCTCACTTCCTATGAGGAATGTGTGTGTGTGCTACCTGGGGGGGCAGTGTGGGCAGCAGTAGTCCGCTCTGTCTCAGCGTGCTCTGCAGAAGTTTGACCATCTCCACCGGAGCGCAGCTGGACAGACGAGGCCTCAGCTCCAGAACCTTGTCCACAAACGTGTCCTTGAGGTGGGGCAGCTCTGTCATAAAGAGCCTGAGGGAGGGTGGACAAGTGGAGAGGGGTGAGTGTGATCATCTACACATGGTTTGGAGCGAGCAGAGTAAGTGGGGAAAAGTACCTCTGAAAATGCTCTATGTCCTGGAGGAAGCGGTCACAGCTGCTGCTCAGAGAGTCCAGGCTGAGGAGAGAAAGGCAGATAGTATGTGTCTAATAACAGCATGAGTTTAAATATAATCTATAATGGACCTACATGTGAAAGCCTGATTTAAGACAGTCGAACAGGGGAGTGATCAAAAAGAATTACACGACCAGTCAAGTTTGAACACACTTTTTCACTTATGTTTTTTCTTTAATTCCAACATTATTTACACTGAAGACATCAAAATTATAAATGACACAAATGGAATGTAGTAAACAAAAAATAAACTCAAAATAGCTCCAAACTTGTAGATTTCTTTCTTTCTTTTTTTTTTTTTTTTTTTTTCCAAAATAGCCTTTACCCTTTGCTTTGAACCCTGGTTTGCACTTTCAGTATTTCTTGGCCCTGACATTGCACAGCTGTGAGGCTTCATCATGAAGCTCAATGAGAGAAAGCCAAGGGTTTTTCCAGCTCTGGTAATAAAGCAAAGGGTGGATACTATGAGTATTTTAATAGAAAAAAAAATAAAAAATTCAGCTGAGATAATAAACTTTTTTTTTTCCATACATCTTGCTTCATATATTTGATGTCTTCCATTTGCAACTAAAATGTAAAAAGCAGTAGTAAAGGAAAAAAAAAAAAGTAGTAAAAGGAAAGGAAAAAAAACAGTGAATGAAGGGTAAGTCCAAACTCTTGAATGGTCACGTATCACGCAAAGTACACGCACTGAGCACCTGCACGCACTGTGTGTACCTTGAATGTCCCGAGACGTTCCACATGGAGGAGCGCGATTAATGACCAAATTGTTCGCTTTTTACTGAGGGCTGTAAATATTGATTTAACTATTAACTATTCATTGTTTCTAAGTAAACAACTGCAGAGGCTTTCAGCTGAAATATTCTAACAGAATATTTATGTACTGACCCCTGCTGGTGCTAAAGTGAAGTGTCTCCTGTGTGTACTGACCTGTTCCTGGTGCGTGCAGACAAGCAGCAGCTGCAGAGCTCGGGCCTGCAGACGCACATGATGCAGAGCAGCCATCTGTCTGCTCTCCAGACCACTGTACAAGAACTCCAGACGGAACGTTTCCTCCACCATCTACACACGCACATGGGCGAAAAAGACCATGTAACATTTCAGTCTCTACAAGGAGCTCAAGAATCAAAAGAAAGTGATCTTAGACCTGTTGAGCGGCTTGTGTGGCACTGTTGTTCTGTTTGAGACACAAGGGCACAGCCGTCCTCCAGAGCTTCTCCTGCAGAGCCTACAGCAGC